TCCATAGGGGAACATAGGCTGTTGCTGAATTAGGCAAGCATTAATATATAAAGTAGGAATGTTTTGTCTTTGGCTATGAAACAAGTTATTTGGAACCTAGTCAAGAGAGGAAAATTCAACATGGATACGGTTTCAGTTGTTGCCACAGTGACTGTTAAGAACTCATTCCTTGAACCTGTGAAGTTTGTTGTGTTTACCCAGGGCACTGGCAGGGATTTTTCACCCTGAAGACATTCACAGTTTCATGAAAGCCATGTTCTGCCATCCTAATGGATGTAGCCCATTTCTTCTTCAAGTTGATGATAAGGTTTCAAAGCTCAGCTCCTAAGGGGGTAAAAGGTGAAAGCATTTTCTCCTTTCTCTTTATTCTTGTCAATGTTTAAGGAGATTTTGAAGTTGTTGGTTTGCATTCTGAAGGGCCGTGTGAACAGCACTACATCCTGAAAACTATTATTCACCTTTTTCTTAACTTCACAGGGAGGTGGTGTTGATTTTCTTTGCTCTACATGAAAAGCCAGTAGCTTGAACTTGCTGGGATCTTATATGCACAGCCTTCCTTCTCTTCCAAAATGTCCTGAATTGTGTTTTTAAGTGAATTCCTGATTGTAGGTATCTTTGTTACTTTTAAGGTGTTGAAGTGTAGCTCTAGGTAGGTTATTGCCTACAAATCTTCCATGGGAAGCTGTAGTTTCCTCTGAGCAGGCTTGAGAACCTTGAGAAAGATAGGCACTTCTGTCTGTGGAGACAAATGCCAACATTCTTCCCATGTACCGTGCACCATGAAGTGGTGCTTCATGGGATGATGAAAACATGCCTCGTTACAGGCCCAGGCTGTGCTCTGCCATGGCAATGCAGCTGGGTGAAACAAGAAGGCAGCAGGTGTCCTCCTGAGGGTGGCAAAATATGGATTTGCCCATGGAGATGGTGTTCTTCAGGTCTTGCTCCAAAAAAAAGGAAACAGGCAAAACCTGGCCTCTCCATGTATTTTAAATGGTGAAGACTGAGAGTTCTGGCATAGTGCACCTTGACTATCAGAGCTGTCAACTTGGATACCTGGTGCAGGGCGAGTTTTTCAGAGTGTACATGTCCTCTGTGCTTGCAGCAGTTTGGTATTTACCAAAATTGATATTACATCCAAATTCCTAAAGGCCAAATGGACCACGCTTGTTTAATATTGTTGCCTCTTACATGACAGCTGCTTTGTTCTTCACATTGAAAAAAAGGTCCTGGAAAACTGGTGCGTGATTTTCTTTTCAGCTTTGCAGTAGCATTTTTACATCTGTGGTCTGCATTTAGGTGTAATGAACATTTATGTTTTAAATGTCTGCCCGCAGGTAGCCAACCTGGATGCAAATGAGAATGCTTTCTGTCTGAAGGAACGTTTCTTGAAAGACATTCAAGAAGATTGGCCTGGCTACAGTGAAAGAGATAGACAGATGTTGGAGGTCACACTTGTTCAGTAAGTTCAGTCAGGACAACGACCATTTCAGAAAACCTTCTAGGAAATGAAGGTCTCTTTTCCCTGTGAGGAAAGTACTATGATTTTTGATATCTTTGCCTTGTAACCTGATGTTGGACCATCCTTACAGAAAAACAGCGCCATCTCAGAATGCTGCCAGCACCAGCCAGTCATCATCTCTGGGACCTTCTGAAAGGGATACTCCACTGAGAGCTGCTCAGGTATTTTGTGAATTTTTTAAACAATCTCTACCATGTATTATGTTTTATCCCACTTGCTCTTGGTGTCAAAACTGTGATATGGAGCAGCAGTGTTGTCTTCATATCATAAAAACCTGAAGCGTGTACTTCTCATGGGATTGCTGTCTACTTTCCAAGATGAAAGCTGAAATGTTAAAGCCTGCAGCAAGCTTGCACCCATGTCTTGTTTCTGATGGGGCATAGGAAGTTAGAAGGCATAGAAGCTAAGGACGGTATGTGTACATACATGTCTTTGGTACCTGGCTGTGTCTGGGCAGGGTTCTTGAAAATCTGGCAGCTCTAGTTCCTAAAACATGCACTGCTGCCGTTCGGTTTCTGTGACCTCAGGACCGGGCCAGCCGGGAGTAGTGTGGTAAGTAGAAGAACGGGTCAACTGGGTTGCCTGAAAACAAAAGAATTTTAATGGCTAAAATAACAACGGTTGAAGGCACATGTGGTATGGGGTCTACTCAAAAGGAACTCCAAAATGGGGGAAACATAACTATATATATAATACAAGAATCAACAGGAACTCCGAACATAACCTTTTATCTAAAACAATAATGACCAATCAGAAACAAGAATTAGAAACATTGCTTAATATGGAACTACAACATCAATATCATAACTCCCACGATCCATTTCTCCTCACCTTGACTAGCAGGCCTTAAGTCTACGGTTACCTGGTGTTGGCCGAGTGCCGCAATGCACGGACATCCCAGTGCTACTGCTTGAATAGAAATCTTAGGGAAGTCTAGAGTAAGGACAAATTACAGTAGTGATGCATTTGTAGGTATCCTGTTTTTCTGCCCTAGGCAGCATTTAGGCCCCCATTTTGATTCAGGCTATCCCATGTGTGAGGAGGGAACTCTGAATCATCAGAGAATACCTCTGACTTTTCAGGCTTAAGATCAAGAGATGGCCTGTTTTCTTACCAATACAAGAGGGCAAGGCAAATCTTTTGAAAGAAGCTCAGAAAACACTACATAAAAGGTGTACTTTATATACCTTAAAGAATTCTCTTTAAATACCGGAGGGAGGACACAGCTCTGCTTTTCCCTAGCTCTGTTCCAGCCAGAGCAGGAAATGCTGCGGGCACCAGCATCCTTTTCTGAGCCATCCCTGTGCCCACAGGATTTCTGTCAGCAGGCTGGCACAGAGCCATGTCTGGCACTCCTGCTCAGAGCTGCTGATGTACCTGGATGGGAGCAGTGTGAGCTCGGTGGAGAAGAGGCTGTGATGGAGGGCTTCCTCTGGAGAACAGCAGGAATGACACCTGCAGCCAGACTGGGGCTACTCTCTGTAGTTAACATTTCTGCATTGGACACGCTGTGGTCAGCAGCGCACTGGCGACTTCTTGGGGCTGCTTTAGTGAATGGTGTGGGTGTGTGACAGCAAGAGCTGAGTGTTTTCCTGGTGTGTCTAAGCAGAAACAGGGAGCTAAAACTAACCTGAGCTCCCCATTTTGGGGAAGCCTTTGATAGAGGTGCTGAAGGGAGTGTCTTTCTCCCAAAGCCTTTTGTCTGCAGACCGGGAGAGGGACTTGCGGATTAGTAAGGTGAGAAAGTAGGAATCAAATAGAGAACTTGTTTATCTGCAGCACCTCCTTGTTTGACAGGCCATTTTAGGTAAGAAAGGTGTGTTTTCAACAATTGCCAGCTTGGAAATGGTGCTTTTTCAGAATGGGAGCAGAACTAATTGTGATCATCTCTGCAGAAACGGCCTCTGGCTTCTGACTTTATCAGTCCCGTGATGAGCAAGAAGCAGAGGCTTGACCAGCAGCCCAGTGATGTCCAGCCAGCAGCTGGTGGCCACTCTCCTTCTTCCTTGGACCTGCCTTCCACATCCTGTTCCACTTTCAACATGTCTCCAAGTGTCAGCTCCATTTTCACCTCCACCCCTGAGGAGCAAAAAGATAAAATTCAGACTCCTTCTGGAATCCCAGTGCCTGCCAGGGTGCAGGGGAAGACTCCCAAGTTCAGAGGTGAGAAAACAGAATTAGATAAGGTGAAAAAATCCCATCCTTCATATTTCAATAAAATGGTTGCCATTAGCGAAGCCAAAGAGACGAGCAGAGCGCAGGACCCAGGCAGAAA